TGGAAGTTGCATAAAAGAATACTAGATTTTTGCCCTATTACTAGTCATAAGGGTGAAGAGATGGCTAAAGTTATTAGGGATTGTTTGCTTGAATGGAAATTAGACAAGGTTTTCACTATTACCGTGGACAATGCTTCTTCAAATGATGTCACAGTTAAAGAATTGTCTAAACAGTTAGATATGTAGAAAACTAATATGATGAGTGGTAAGCATCTTCATGTGAGATGCATGGCTCATATACTAAATCTAATTGTGCAAGATGGTTTAAAAGAACTTGATGCTTCTGTGACACGTGTTAGAAATGTTGTGAGGTATGTGAGATCTTCGCCTGCAAGGACCTTAAAGTTTAAACAGTGTTATGCACATGTAAAGGTAGAATGTACCAAAACATTGTGTTTGGATGTTCCTACTAGGTGGAATTCCACCTATTTGATGTTGGACACGGCACAAAAATTTGAAATGGCCTTTGACAAGTTTCATCTTTTTGATGATGGATTTTCTGCTTATCAATGTTCTCATGTTTGTGAAGATGGTAGTAGTGTAGGTCCTCTTGATTTTGATGATTGGGTGAATGTGAGGAATGTGATAGAGTTTCTTGCAAGATTTCACGAGCTAACTAAAAAAGTTTCAGGTTCACGTTATGTCACTTGTAATTCTCATTTTGAGGATGTATCTGAACTTTATTGTCATTTGAAAATGTGTTTAGCTAGTGAGGATGACCATTTGAGAAAAATGGCTGAGCGAATGCAAGAAAAGTTCAAGAAATATTGGGGTGAGCCTGAAAAGATGAATAAAATGATTTTTATTGCTTCTGTGTTGGATCCACGTAACAAATTTGAATATGTTGAGGGAGCACTTGAAGAACTTTTTGGGGAGGAAAAAGGAAAGAAAATAAATGCTGAGGTGTATGCTTATATGAATTCTTTGTTTGGAGAGTATCTAAAAAAATATTCAACTGGATCTTGTCCTCAATCTCCATCTAGATCTACTTTATCTAGCAACACATCTAACACATCTAGTGGGAGTGTTATAAGTGCATCAAAAATAAGGACTAAGCTTAGCTTGAAGAAACAAATGGAAGACAATGGGGGTGGGGGTGCTAAATCGGAGTTGGATAAATACATTAGTGAAGAACAAGAACCTTTTAGTGAAGACTTTGATATCTTGAGTTGGTGGAAAACACATGCTCCTAGATTTCCTATTCTTTCGGAGTTGGCTCGTGATGTGTTGGCCATTCCAATTTCTAGTGTGGCGTCGGAATGCGCATTTAGCACCGATGGCCGTATTCTTGATTCATTTAGGAGTTCATTGACTCCTAAATGTGTGAAAGCTCTTATTTGTGTTCAAGATTGAATTAGAGAAGAGAACAATCCTATTAGTGTTGAAGAAGACTTGAAGTATCTTGAGGAACTCGAGCTCGGTAAGCTTTAATATTTTGCGTGTATTTTAGTTCAAAATAATATATCATGCTTTTTCATTTGTATGACATATTTGGTCGAATTATCTATAGATATGGAAAATAATGGAAGCACAACTAGCATTGTTTGATGTATAGTTGCAACTTGCATCTTGAGAGGTAAGTTTAATACTCATTTTGTTTGGTGATATACTTAATACTTTTGTAGTTTTGTTTTTTTATCATCAAAATATTATATTCTAACTTATGATTTATATTTTTTTAGGTTCAAGCATTGTGGTCAAGTCTATAATGTGTAGTTGCAACAGTGTTGACTGTTTGCATCTGGTGATTCGCAATGACTGTTGTGTTGACTGTTGTTGCTGCAACAGTGTTGCTGTTGCATCTGTTAAGTTTATTATGTATTGTTTAGTTTACATCTGTTAAGTTTAGACTGTTGCTGCTGCAACAGTGAACAGTGTTGACTGTTTGCATCTGTTAAGTATGTAATGTATTGTTTCAACTTTCAATTTCAAACTTAACTTGAGTTTAGTATGTAGTGTTTCAATTTCAAAGTTTAGACTGCTGCTGCATCTGTTAAGTATGTATTGTTTCAATTTCAAAGTTAAGTAAGTATGTACAAACATTGTTGACTGTTTTTTATTGTTTCTGACTTATAGATTTTAGATGCTATAAATCTATAGCATCTGGTGTTTAGTATGTATTGTTTCTGACTTTCTGTGTGGCGTTAGATTTGTATTTGTGTATGGATAGAAAATTATGCATGTGCTGCAACTTCAAACGTTGCTGGTTTCAATTTCAAACGTTGCTGGCTTGCTGCAACAATTATGCATCTGGACAGTGCACTGTTAGGACTTAGGCGTTAGCTAAATTTTAGCGATTATTAAACCGAAACCGTACCGAATCAAAATAAGAAAAACCGAACCATACCGAAATATTTTGGTATGGTATTTGGTATACACAATTGATAAACCGAATACCGAATTACCGAACCGAAATTATTAAATACCGAACCGAAGTACCGAATGCCCACCCCTACTATTAGAAGCAGAGAAAACAGATGTATATTGCCTTGGTATGCGTGTTAAAAAAAGTATCTATTGAATAATAAACTTCCCCTTTATATAGTAGGGGGATTTCATCCTAATTACAATTCTATGAAAGGTAAAAATCCTCCATTTCGCTAATCACTGATCTGTTGCCGATACGGGCCGGCGCCGTGATACTCAGTTGGGCACGGATATCACGGCCCTGTGTTAATCGTGCGTGGACGTTCGGTGATGCTTTCTGAGGTCTTGGAACTCGAACCGAGGGCGTGGTTCGTCCTCGACTCCGAGGGCAGGTGCTTTGTTCGGGCCTTGATATGAGAGGCTCCTAGTTTCGATTCCGGTTCCTTGTAGTTACATCCTTGCTTCGTTTGCCCCACCGGAACACCGGAGTGCTCACTAGCCTTGATTTTACCCGTATACAATATGCACAAGTGAAGAAATTGGGAACCCAAAAAAAAGGTACAAAAAAATGGTACCAAAAACGTAATTTTACCTTAATATTTTTTTTTTTTTGAAGTGTAAGAAATAGGAAAATTTCTCGATAGTTGAAAACTATAAGACTAAGCCATTGCTATTTGTATCATATCAGCAATTGTTTAAAAGAGAGTTACTGAGCATAACAGTGAAAACCTATCATTTTTAATTCTAAAGATCTAAGCCTCGCACCGCGCAAAGAGGAAAGATCGTGGAAGTCTGCAGGTCCTTGTATTAGCAATTCCTTTAATCACAGTCTAACCACAGTTTAAAGAGATTTATATTATTTTTTGTGGTGATATTAATTATCATAATCTCACTTCCAAGTCAACCCGACCTCTTTGGTGCACGTGTTGGTCCAAAATCATTTGATGGGCTTTTGATGTCCCGACACCTGGTGTTCTTCTGTTTTTATTTATTTTTAATTTTTTTTTTGGTTGTAAAATTACCTATTCCGTGTTATTTGTGCATATTTAAGATACAAACAGAAACACAAGAAAAATAAAGAAAAAAGAAAATAAAAGAAAGGCAGGACGGCTCTCTGGCAGAGTCTTGCCGCTTCAATCTTAACAATAAAGTTTAATATTATAGTATTGTTTCCTTACTGTAGTTTTAAATTATATATTTTTATATATTTATATAACAGATTGTATTTTTAGTAATTTTTGTAACATTTATGTGTAAATTTTTCTTTGAGAATTAACCTTAATAAATCAAATTTCAAATTCACCCCAAAAATTTGACGAGGCGCTGCTTCTAGGGGGACAAAAATAGTACTCTAGGATTTTTCTAAAAATCTGGAAATTTAACCTCCTTAATTAATTGTAAATGAGTTTGGAGCACCAGACCCGAAGTGATGGGGCGCTGCTTCTGGGCGTTGGATATGAATTGCTGGGCAAACTATATTATGGCTGTCTACTTGTCCCTGGCCTGCTACATATACATATATTCCATTTTTAGAATACCTCATATATACAACCAAATCTCTATGAATAAAAGCAAGTGTACTAAATATTGAATATAAGCAAATTGACGTGTTAGCTTAGTCTCCTAGCTAGACAGAATAGTAAACCTATGCTTTCTTGAAATTCTTTTGTAATCATTCCCTTGTAGGAACTCCCTTGCTGTCATCAAGCAATACGTGAAAAGAAATTTAAAAATTCACCAAAAGATATAAGATTAAAAAAAAAATTATCTTTCTTTGTTTACGAATTTTATGACCAAGCAAATTAAGTGACACTAATTTTCATTAGTGTTTGGTTCTAGACTGCCGGTGGAGGTCGAGCATTAGGGTTATATGTTAAAAGGTAGTTGAACGTTTGGTCTAATATTCTTACCGGTATTGAGCAATTAAAGAAAAAGATAAAGAAACTTATATATATATAATGGACATGGATCTCGCTCAATCTCAAAAATTAACCTATGAGGCATTGAGGCTAGAATTATTCAAAATCATGTACATAGTAAGACAAAAGTCAATTCCCTTCACCAACCTGAGACATAATTCAATAATTAAAATAAGATTTAGTCTATTGCAATTTGTTAATCTTTAGCACTTAAGGTATGACCATCTCAACACAATCAAGAAAAGAAAATTCCAGACTAGAATGTGATACGTAAATTATTAGCTATTACTAATAAATACTTAAATTTGGAGCTAGCTAGATATTTGTGTGATTTAACTAGGAATAAAAGGATTCTAAAAAAAGTTAATCTCGTGTCCTGACCATAACCGTTGGATAGCAAATGGTTTCTTTGAGCTGAAAAGGATGCCTCAAGATTAGCACTCAGCTTGAATCTCAACACTTCCACCGCCTTCCTTTTCTACATTTTGGTCACACTCTCCAATGTGTATATCTTTTTACTAAAAAGGTCAAAAATGCGTGGTTTCATTTTTGTCCATATAAGAAGATAGTAGAATGTTTCTTGACTTTAGTTGGTACATCGATGTCTTGATATTTGGGACTCTTGACTATCGAGACTAACAAACATAGCCTGTAATGTTTTGACAGCTTTATATTGATGAATATAGATATCAAAGTTGGATGAAACTAGGATTTTTCAAGAGCCGTATTTAGGAACTTGAACCAATAGAATTGCTCTATTTAGCCATGGTTTTCCTAACACTCTCTTCTTTATTTATTACTACTAGCTAGCAAAGCTCACTTCTCATTGGCTTCTAGCTAACATCTCTCTCTCTCTCTCTCTCTTGTTCCACTGATCACCAACTTCATAGGTGATCATCAAAGAGCTTCCCTTCAAATATGAAGGTTGGTATAATCTAAGCATGGATCTTTAATTTATGGTAATGCAAGTTCTAAAATAAAAGCTTTTTGAGGTTGTTTATAATTTGGTTGTTTTGGGTTTGCAGTTCTTTAGCTGGATGCAAAATAAGTTCAATGGCGGACAAGGGAACAGATCAATGCCTAATGAAGTTCAAACCAAAAGTAAGCCTTCTTCCACATCTCTTTTATAAGCAGAATGTAACATCTCCTTTAGTTGGATAAATCAGACATGCATGCTAGCTTAGGTTACTGTGGCTCGACGAAGACCGGATGGTTTAATTAAATTCATTACTTTTGGCTCAAAATATATATATGTATACATGCAAAGAGAATAGGATCATGAGTGGAGCCTTGGTGTTACTGGTAAAGTTGCTGTCATGTAACCAGGAGGTCACGGGTTCAAGCCGTGGAAACAGTGTCTTGCAGAAATGCAGGGTAAGACTGTATACAATAGACCATTATGGTCCGACTCTTCCTCGCACATAGCAGAAGCTTAGTACACCAGGCTGCTCTTCTTATACATGCAAAAGAAAAGAATATTTAAAAAGCATATAGTAATACTATAAGCTTACATATTTTTGAATTCACATACTTTGTATCTTGAGTTCTCTTCTGCTATTGCCATACCTACATCACATCATAAGCGAATTCAGAATTTAAATTTGATAGATACAACTTGTGAAAAATTTAGCACCGAATTCATTGTACTTAATAATTATGGGTTCAACATCTAATATTTGTTACTATAATTTTAATAGTTATTCACATATATATTTATTTTTCGTGTCAAAAATAGTGCATTCGACCTGAATCTATAGCACATAGACTACATCCGCCCCTTCATCATTTATGCATGGGAAACTAAAAGAACATTTGCATGGATGCCACTGCGATCTATAATCTATGCATATGTAACTGAATCAAATTTGGTCCGACCAGTTTCTTGACAAACGCTAGAATAGTTGTCGACCTAATGAAAATGCATATCCCAAGCTTGCTTAAACAACGGCATAAATGGAGGATTTTGTTCATTATTATTCTCTCCTCAAACACTATGGCTTGTAATTATTTGTGTATTTTCCGACCAAGAAGACAAAAAACTTCGAACTGGGAGAATATGCTGGAGTGTCTCCCTTGACACACAAGAAATTAAGTTCCCTCAACATTACTTTATTAATTAACCTCATTCTGCCTAATTAAGAAGGGAAGCCTTCGCGTAAATGGTAAATTAAAGTTGCTGTCATGTGACAAGGATGTCACGGGTTCGAGATGTGAAAACAGCCTCTTGCGGATATGACTGCAGACAATAGACCCTTATGGTCCGGTCCTTCCCCGAACCTCGCGTATAGCGGGAGCTTAGTGTACCGGGCTGCCTTTTTATTCTGCCTCCTTAACTAGAAAATTGGTTATTTGCTTCTTGCTAACTCCCTTGTCGCTTATTATTATAGATCAGACAAATCAAGAACGTCCTCGCAACGAAGAATTCAACGGTTGGCCTGATTCGTTATTAGCCATTGGAACTTTTGGTACCAGCAGCAGTAATCTCAAAGCAAAATCAGAGAGCCAAAACGTACAAAATCAAGAACGGGATGAAATAATCTTAGATGATAATATTAATGAGCAAAGTTCCTCTCCAGATTTAGCAGAATTCACACCTGAAGAAGTTGGTAAATTACAGAAAGAATTAACAAAGTTATTATCAAAAAAACCAGCTGCTAAATTAATTGATCAAGGACGACAAGATGGTGATCTCCCATTGGATAGATTCCTTAATTGCCCTTCAAGTTTAGAAGTGGATCGTAGGGCTTCTTCCAGCAGATTTAGCAGTACTAATTACTCAGATAATTATGATAATTATGATGAGGAAGAAATTGATAGAACTATTAGAGCAATCATTGGAAGATGCAAGGATCATGTTTGCAAGACAAATAAAAAGAAAGTAAATGGGATGAAATCCATTTCTTTCCTTCTCAAGAAAATGTTTGTTTGCTCAAGTGGTTTTGCTCCTACTCCTAGTTTACGAGATACATTTCCAGAATCAAGAATGGAGAAGGTAAATAAATTTAAGTTTTAGTTATAAGCACTATAGTATCGGCTTGTTTCTACTGCTTCTTTTCATCTTTTCTTGAGCCGAGGGTCTATCGAAAATAATTTTTTTATTTTTTTAAGGTAGGTAAGATCTGCATACACACTATCCTCCCCAACTCAACTTACGAGATTTCATTGATTTTTTTTTTTAATTTTTTTTTTTTGGTTATGTACTACACTAACCGCCATTCTAAGTACTGGTTATAATAGTTCGTTACTCTCTTTCTCATATTATCATATCAAACTTAATATATAAAGAGTTAACCTGATATATGGAGAGTGATGTGTTATTGTATGTCAACTTAACCTGATAATATAAAATTTATTTTTACGTCATTGCATAAAACATAAACTGTATAAATTTCAGTATTTCTTAATGAAATTTTGCTGTTGCAGCTTTTAAGGACAATACTTTCCAAGAAAATAATAAACCCTCAAAATGCAGCTCGAGTATCAACAAAGAGATACTTAGAGGACCGATGTGTACCAAAGGAAGAGGAAGAGGAGAAAAAACGGGAGAAAACTTGTGATGGATCTAAGTGGGTGAAGACTGATTCTGATTGTGAGTAAAAGTTTACTTATTAGCTTTAAATTAAAACAAGCTTCAAATTATTATTATTATTATTTTCAGATTAATCACAAGTTGACAAGAGCTTATTTTATTTTTTGCAGTTATTGTTCTGGAAATTTAATAGGCCTCTATGGATAAATGGGATGTTCAAAAAATACTCTCCTTTTTTTTTTCTTCTGAAGATGAAGAAAATAAGACATAGTAATTAAAAACCATATGTGTTTAATTCCGAGCTCGTTGGCTTTCAAAGATGGAGATGATTTCACAGGCAAATGAATGAGTACCCTCCAGTCAGTGTACAAAGATGGCAACTTGTTTATTTTTGCAGGATACTTCTTTACTCATATTTTTCCATGGTTGTATTCCCCGATATGGATACATCACATGTTGTGTTATGTTACTGAAGAATCTTGCGATTTGTACTTTTTTGGGCTTTTTTTACTGCAAAAATAATCTTTTTCTAGTCTTTTAATTTTGGTATTGATATTGTTTTTCAATTGTATTTACCCTTGAAAATGGATAACAATTGAATTTATACGCGGTTTTAAGGATATGTAGACTAATTCAATACAAGTGATTAATGACGTTAGATAAGCAAATTAAGGATGAAATAAACAGCCAAACCAGTAGTAATATTGAGTCTGGGCTCGGTTATAAGCTTAATAGCCAACACTTATGAAGAACTTACGAGCAAAAGCAAGAACTTTAAATCACTTTTAGAAACAGAGAAAATAGATGTATATTGCCTTGGTGTGCGTGCTACAGAGTGTGTATTGAATTATAAAATTCTCATTTACATAGTAGGGGAGTTTTACCTTAAGTACAATTCTAAGAAAGGTAAAGATCTTCCTTTTCTCTAATCATTGATCCACTGCCGATACAAGCAGAGATTCACGATCTGGTCGGGCACGGATATCACGGCCCTTCGTTAATCGTGTGCGGACGTTTGGCAATGCTTTTCGAGGTCTCAGAGTTCGAAACGGGTTTGGGGGTGTTGGCCCAAGTAAAGGTTAGTTTTGAAGACTGACAAAGGAACTCAGACATGAACCAGGTCCATCCAGTGGTCCATCCCTCAGGTTCACAAAAACGGGCAGATTCAAGCATGTGGGATGCACGTGAAGGAGATAAGCTTAAATTGGTGTATTTAATATCTCCTGATCGAAAAGGTTGCATAATTGATAAGGAGAAGGACTCCTTAATCAAAGAGAACACAATTCAAGATAGGGAAGGAGTTAGAAGTTGAAATCAACTAGAACTCTTCCACCAAGGAAGAGTTGCATCAGAACTCTAGTTATTTCTTCATCTACTAACTCTATAAATTGCAGGATGTTCTCACATTAATAGGTTGCACAAAAACGCAGAAGTTAAACGTGAGTTGGGAGCAAAATAGCAAGGCTTTTTGCAAGCAGTTCGTGTGTGATTCAAGTGTGCAAACCAGAAGCTACATGAACCAGATTGAAGAACCAGCTCCATAAAGAGTTTTATGTGTCTTTCTTTATTTCTAGTTCAATTGTAGTAGGTGTTTCATATTGTACCTTTCAGCTTTATCTAGAAGCAACTGTAATAGGTATTTTGAGTATTCAAGTTAGAGTTAACTTGAAGTTGTCGCAGCAGTTAGAGGCTGGTTGCTACAACGGGATTAGAGTTAATCCTTAGGTTTACAAAGAGTTTTGTAAATGCAGTTTTGGCTCAGTGATTTTAGTGGAAGTTTGGGAAAATCCTACTGAGTAGTAGGTCGTGGTTTTTTCACCTTTTGAACCAGGTGTTTTTCACGTAAAAATCTTTGTGTTCTTTATTTTATGTACTTTTAATTCCGCAAACAGCAGTCGTTAGTACACCTAGAAGAACTAGGTCCTTCCAGAAGCAGTTTAAGCAAAAATTGGGTACCACACAAATCACCCCCCCTCTTGTGTGTCATTGACGTTTAGAACATCAATTGGTATCAGAGCAGGTTATCCTTGAAGAGGCTAACACCTTAGGAAAAGATCAACATGAGTGCGCTACCTGGGAACTGGGAAGGGCAATCCACTGATAGGCCTCTACTCTTTAGTGGCCACTACTACTCTTGGTGGAAAAACAGGATGAGGGATCACATCATAGGAGAAGACTATGAACTCTGGGACATAGTCACTAATTGTCCTCTAGCAACTACAAAGAAGAATGCTGAAGGAGTGGATGTGCCAAAGACAGAGCTGACTGCAATGCTGAGGACTTGAGGAAGTGGGAAAAGAATGCAAAGGCCAAGAAATGGCTTGTGTGTGGACTTGGTCCAGACGAGTATAGTAGAATTCAAAGTTGTACCACTGCTAAGGAAATCTGGGACACTTTGCAAGTGGCTCATGAAGGAACACCTCAAGTGAAGAGGTCCAGAGGAACACTACTGTATTCTCAATATGAGAATTTCACCATGAAGGAAGGGTTATTCTTGAAGAAGACAAAGTCGAGAAGATTTTGACAAGGGTACTGCCAATCTCTTGGGAAAGCAAAATCACAGCTATTCAGGAATCAAAGAACATTGCCACTCTTAAATTGGATGAGCTAATTGGAAATCTCACTGCCTATGAACTTAGAAGGCAAACCATGAAGATGGATGCACCCAAGAAGGAAAGGAGCATGGCATTCAGAATCACTGAAGGTGCTGATCTAGAGGAGGATGAAATGACCATGATCACAAAGGATTTCAAGAAGTACCTAATGAGAGAAAATGGTCCTTCAAGAAGTGGAAGCTACAACAAACCAAGGGTTCCTGAAAAACAAACCAATGAGGGGTGTTACAAGTGTGGGAAGACTGATCACCACATCAAAAACTGCCCTCAATAGGAAATTGAATGGAAAAAGGAAAGAGCTGAACGAAGGAACAGGAAGAAGGAACAGGTTCATCACAAGAAGAACAAAGGATCAACAAAGGCTATGGTTGCTTCTTGGGGTGAAAGCTCAGATGATGACTCAGAAGATAAAGATGGAGATGAACAAGCACTTATGGCAATTGGGAAATCCGATGAGGAATCTGAGGTAAGTATAATTCATCTTAAAAACAAGATTAAATTTTTGTCTAAAGAAAGTCTCGCTGAGTTACTTCTAGATTTCATTGATGAATTTGAGGTTATAAACAATGAAAAGGAACAACTTTCTAAGGAGTGTGTGATTCTGAAAGCTAAGTGCAAAAACCTGGAACTTAGGGCTAGTGAAAGTGATAGTAAAAATGCTGAGTTGAAGAACCAGGTTCATGAACTTGACACCACAGTCCTAGATCTCAAATCTGAAAATCTAAAATTGAAATTAGGAGCTGGTAAAAAGGAATCTGATCACACACAACTCACTTTAGAAGAAAATGTAGGAAAAATGAAAGATGAGTTGTACAAAAGAGATAAGCAGATAAGAGTCCTTAAGGAGGATCTAAACAAGGTTAAGCACGAGCTAGATAAAACCTGTAAATGGAATAGGTCCTCCGATGCACTTTCATGGCTACATGAACACCAGAGTAGCAATAAGAGAGGACTTGGCTACGGGACCTCTGCACCTAAGTGGGATCCCAAACGCAAGTACCTCACACTTCCTGAGAACAAAATTTGCACACATTGTGGTAAAACTGGTCACTATAAAAGTGAATGTATTGCAAAAGAAAAGGCTAGTCAAAAGAATAAAGAATTTGTTCAAGGGGAAAATAGGCTGCTAGGTTGGGCTAAAAAGAATTTGATTCACCCTTTTGCCTATAGAAAGGGACCCAAACTAGTTTGGGTTCCTAAGACTAACTCCTGATTTCCTTTCGCGGGTCCAAGTGAAGGGGAGCAGCCAAATATGGTACATGGATAGTGGCTGCTCAAAGCATATGACAGGAAGCAAGAACCAGTTCCTTTCACTTGAGGACCTCAAAGGAGGTAATGTCTCCTTTGGAAATGGGAAGAAAGGTGAGATCATTGGGGTTGGAAAGGTAGGTAAGACTGATTCTCACTCTATTGAGAATGTCTACTTGATAGATGGCCTAAAGTACAATCTAATCAGTGTATCACAATTATGTGATAAAGGTAAATTGGTAGCATTCACCACTACCAAATATTTTGTGATTAATCTTACCATTGACAAGATTGTTTTGCAGGGAAAAAGAGTAAACAATACATGCATTGTAGTTTTTTCCACACTTTCAGAAAATGAACTCACTTGCTTAAGTGTGTTGGACAATGATCCCCTCCTTTGGCACAAGAGACTTGGACATGCAAGTCTGATTCAACTCAACAAATTAGTCTCTAAGGATCTGGTGATAGGGCTGCCTAACATCAAGTTCAAGGAAGACAAAGTTTGTGAGGCTTGTGCAAGGGGGAAGCAGGTAAGATTCTCTTTTAAATGCAAGAAAGTGGTAAGCACCACCAGAATGATGGAACTGGTCCATATGGATCTCTGTGGTCCACTGAGAACATTAAGCAGAGGTGATAAAAGATATGTGATGGTGCTTGTTGCTGATTACTCTAGGTTTACTTGGACATTATTTTTAACATCTAAAGATGAAGCATCTGACATGTTTACTTCTTTTGTTAGAAAAACTCAAAAACAACTAGGTAATCAATTTGCATCAATTAGGTCTACCATGGAACTGAATTTGAAAATGCTAAGTTTGCTGAATTTTTGCATGCTATAGCATAAATAGTTGCATGACTAGATCTCTTGTTAAGAAGATTCCCTATGAGTCACTTAAAGGGAGAAAGCTAAATATATCCCATCTTAGGGCATTTATATGCAAGTGCTTTGTGCACAATAATGGCAAAGACTCCCTAGGTAAGTATGATCCCAGAAGTGATGAGGGAGTATTCTTGGGATATTCTTCACATAGTAAAGCTTATAAGATATACAGTAAAAGAACTATGTGTGTAGAAAAAAATGTATATGTTATTTAAAACTAACATTCTTTCTGAGAAGCAGGAACAAGATAATGAAGAGATTGGGCTGATAAGAAATTCAAATGGTGAAACCATAGTCCAGCCTGAAGAAGCATCACAGGAAGGAACATGTGATGGAACAAGTCCCTCCACCCAGGGCAACATGACAGGGAGAACTGACTAGAGAGGAACTGATCCTCAAACCTCGAGGGAACTTGTCCATGAACCTATTCCTCAGTAACAAAACCAGGAAGGAACATCCAAAGAAATTGACACTCCTATTGCAACATCCACAAAATTGGCTATAGATGAACCTGATTCATCTGTTGATCAGAAGTTGTATAGGGGAATGATTGGTTCTCTTTTATATCTCACTACTAGCAGACCTGACATTGTGTGCAGTGTAGGTCTTTGTGCTCGATTTCAGGTTTTCTAGTTGATAGGAAGAGCAACCCAGGTATGCCACACTTCCTTGGTTCATGTCTTGTGTCATAGGCTACCAAAAAGGCAAAATTCAATGGCCTTATCTACTGCTGAAGCTGAGTATGTTG